AAAAGGCGAGGACGTCGATGATGGAGATGGTGATGATGTGCGTAATGATAACGTAGAATGGACTAGTTCCTGAGTTGGATTGAAGCGCATTAGAGGGATTCGTCTTCTCGATTGATGGCGCCCGGCTTGGCTCGGGCACGCACCTGTCCCTATGGGCGCGCGGAACTTGAGCAGCATTAGACCGTAGGACTTGCAAATTCTGACTCAATTAAAACCAAGTTAAGGGTAAAATTTCATTTTTGGTACGTGAACTTGCCCCAAGTTCGATTTTAGTACATTAAGTTTTTCCTCATCAAAATTGATACGTTTACTTGCCATTTTCGTCAATTTTAGTCTACTAATCCGGCGGACCCGGATAAAATGCTGACATGGCAACCATTTAAACGACGTGGACATTTTGTTAGCACACTGCATCAGTTTACGTGGCATATCAGGTTACGTGGCATAACTGGAGTTTATTTTACCGCATTTTTCTCTCTTTTCTATCCCTAACTCTAAGTTTTTTCCTCTTCCAAAACAGACGGCGATGTCTTCTTCATCATCACACTCCTCTCCATTTCCTTTGTATTGCCGTTGCAATGAAAAAACTCAAATACGCGTTTCGAAGACGAGCACAAGTCCTGAAAAAAAGTTCCATGGATGTAAGAAGTGGAATGATGGTGGTTGCAACTTCTTCAAATGGTGTGAAAATACATCGACCACCCACTCGCAAGAGGCATCGGAATCGATCTTGGAATTGGAGCGTAAGTTTTCTCTGATTGAAGAGAATAAAACATCAATGGTAGAGTTGGAGCGGAAGATTTTGATTCTTGAAGCAGAAATGAAGGCCTTGAAAAAATCGAACAATTCTGAATCATCAGCTACTTTGAAGAAACTGAGATGCCTGGAATTTCTCATGTTATCACTTGGTTGGTCTGTTTTTTCATTGTTGTGATGAGATTGTAAGCAAGTTTAGGGTCATTTGTTTTGGATGTTTGAAAAATGGAATGCTACACTTGGTTTCCCTGTTTTTTTCATTACTGTGATGAGCATTTGTTTTGGTTGTTTGAAGAATGTAATCAGGCTCTGATTTTGTGTGGCTCTGCTCAAGTGATATGTATGAAATGAACAACAGTTTTTGTGCTCATTGTTGTGAATTTAGCAGTTTTTGTGTGACTATGATTTAATGAAAATGGCCTTGTTTTTTGTAAAATTTGTTTTCCTCATAACTTTTTGAGTCTTGTAACTCATGACAAACATTAACCTACTCTCATGACAAACATTAACCTTGTACATCGTATCCTTTAATAAAAACAACAAAAATGTTACACTAAAACTGAAACTGCACCAAAACAAAACCACCACCGAAACACAATGCTTATGATGTTCAAATGAAACTGCACGAAAAAGAAAACAAAACAAAAACCATTCCATTTAAGTTGCACCAAAACAAAACCACCAAATACAATCCTTATGCTATTCAACAACTCCCACAAATTCATTAGACCAAAAGCACCAAAACAGTTCATGATGTTAAACAATTCCAACAAAAGCACCAAAAGCACCAAAAACATCAGAAAGTAGCTAAATAATACATAACATTCAATTGGGAGCATTGCCCTTCTTATGATTGTTATTCAGTGTATTCATGGAACCAACTAAGCTGCTTAGAGAAGTATACTTTTGCCCAGCTTCTTGAAATATTTCCCTCTTCCTTGTATCTCTCTCTGATATGCAACTCTCTTGACCAGGGATAAAATGGCCACCAACAACAGGTGCTTGTCCTCTAATAGTTACACTTGTAGTTGGCCCTGTCTGCTGAAATTGTTGATAAACTGTAGGTGGTTGCTTGAATTGCTGTAAATTGGCTTTCTGAGGGGCATTTGTATGCTTTACATTCCTCAAGGTTGGTCTTCTAGATTTTACCTGAGGGGATTCAGAATGCATAATTTAAAACATACATAAATGGTGATATTTAACAGTAAATGCACTCATAAAGCATAAATGAATATTAAATGAATACATATAACCTTTGAGGAATCTTGAGTTGATATTCCAATTACTGGAGCAGGTTCACCTTTGTCCTCCATTCTTACCTATACAAATTTGATACAAATGTTAAATAAGAAAGAATTGTAATTTAAACAATAAATTCTTAAATTTTCCAAGGATTATATAGTACTCATAGTCTGACTTGAGCTGGGTTTTGTAGCCTCCAATAAGGGACATCCCTTCTTGTTGAGGCCTTCCACATGACAGAATGAACACTTACAAGTCACTTGTTGTCTTCTTATGGTTTGGTCATTGGTCACAAGTCTTGGCTTCCCTCTTAGCCTTTTTCTCCCTTGAGGCTCATCTGGTTCCCTTCTTCTAGCCCTACTTGGCCTTCCAGGTGTCCTGCCAATATTAGGGAGCAAAGGTGGTATGAAACCAGTAGGAGCCCACTCTTTCCTGCCATTCATAGGCATAACTGTTGGTTCATACTCTCTTGTAAGTATCAACCTTGTAGCAAGAATGTGTGAAATCTTCAATTGCCCAACCTTGCAGGTTCACAACACTTAGTGCATGAAGGCAAGGGATTCCACTTAATTGCCACTTCCTACACCCACAAGTGTGTGCCCTCATATCAACTTTATACTGCTCTCCATAGCCACATTCAATGTGGAAGTGGTAGTCATCAGATTTCAGTGGAATACATTCCACCAAGTTATCAGTTTGTCTATCCATGATTTCCTTAATCCTAGGGCGCAAGGCAAAGTTCCACTTCTTTGAAGCTTTGTCCCTATTTTCTTGCATTCTTTTCATTAAGTAGTTCATGATCCATTCCAGCATACTCAAAATTGGTTCCTCTCTGGCCTCAAGAATGTTACAATTAAAGGTCTCACATCCATTATTGAGTAGGATATCACACCTTGGAAATTCACTGAAGTGAGACCTACTCCATTCAGTAGGTGGTTTACCAGCCAACCACTTGTAAGCTTCCTCATCCAAATCCTTCAACTGTTGCATTTTCCTGCTGAACTCATTGATGGTTGATGTTGTGGCACACCTCCATATAGCATTTTTCAGTGCAATTCCTCTGAACCCAGTTTTTCTGAAATTCCCAAGCAAGTGTCTAACACAAAATCTATGGTCACAATCAGGCAAAATGTTTTGAAATGCTTGTATTAACCCTTTATGTTTATCAGAGATAAATGTCCATTCATGTTGATTCTTGATTTCCAAATCATTCTTAAGCAATATCAAAAACCATTCCTAATTATCTGTATTCCCACACTAACCACTACATTTGCCAAGGGGAAAAGAGAGTTGTAAGGATCAATCCCAACAACTGTGAGCAATATACTTTTGTTAGGTCCTTTTAAATGGAAACCACCCACTCCTACCAAAGGTCTACAACCAGCCTTAAACCCCTGTTTCAGTGCATTCAAACATAGGTAAAACCTCTAAAATATGTTCTCATCATTGAACTGATTAGTATCTAGGACTACAGTACTCACAAAATTTGTTCTTCGTATTTTAACATTTCTATTAGGATCATCTTTCCATTCACTGGCATACTTCTCTGCCAACCAACTAGACTTCAAACTTTTAACTTTTCCTGTGCCTGCACAAGTGTGCCTCTAACTGTACTTAATGGCCTGGAATGTTTGCTCACCTACAAGTTTGACTGCATTAATTTTCCAAGGACACAAAGTATCACAACATTTTTCCCTTAGATACTGCTTATCATTCTTTACAATTTTTATATTTCTCTTGCATTTAGTTGCCCTAGAATGAATAGTTGTCCTAAGTTTCTTTTTTGAAGTGAACACCATTCCTACTTTAAAGTTTGGATCATACAGCTCCATGGGGTTAAAAGCAGAAAACTGTTGACCCTCCAATTCCTCATCAAAGCTGTTCTTACCATCTAAGTCCTCATTGTAGACCACATCTACCTCATCATTTATGTCTTCCTCATTGGGATCATAATTGTCCACAGTTTCAAACAAAGAGTCATTCCCTCCCCACTCAGCTTCACTATCAACATTTTCAGAAAATAACCTATCATCTATTATATCTTCCCTCATGTCATACTCCCACTCATACAACTCATCACTATCATCATCTCCCTCACTATTCACAACATCCTCCTCATCATTCACATTTTGTTTTTCTACTTCACACTCATTCTCATCAACTACTCCACACTCTTTTTCATTTTCAACTTCAGCACCTCTCATATCATCTACGTAAATATTAATCTGTCTAAAACCACCCAGTCTCTCATCCCAGCTTCTGTACAAATCCATGTCTGAACTTAATAACACAAAGCAACCACCTTTTTTGACATAGAATCTCATGGGTTTTTTAGCCCCTCTCCTCTCTGCAACACTAATAAAGTCCTCAAGACAAACTGCCCCTAAGTCAACATAATCTAAAACTACACTCTCCCAAACATTATATGCTGAGCAGCTTGGCCCAATATCAAAAGTACCTCCATAATGAATACCAAGAGTAAGAAATTCACTTTTCAAGGCTGCAAAAAATAATTAATAATTGAACAATTTTCAACATGTAACCACCACCAAGATGAAAATGTTCAGGCAATATCAGGACCACAATTGCAACATCCTATGTACACAGCCCCACAAAACTTAAATAAATGTAATAATCAAATAACTTTTCAAGCATATGGACATACATGTTTGATGCTCTTTATACTTTAAACCAAATCACATATTACAACAAAACAGGACAACAATTGCAAAATCCTATGTACACAGCCCCACAAAACTTAAACCCTATTTCTGAAAAGTACAAAGCACATTATAAACAAAAGTCATTGAAAAAAATCACATCAATATATAAAGTTGAAAACCCTATCTACAAAAGAATGCAAGAAAACACGTAAACCCTAATTTTGTAAATTTACAACAAATTCGCATACAAAATTTCATATAGATTTACCGTATTTAGGAGGGGGTCGATGTCGATCTTTCTTTGCTTGCAACATCATCTTGCAGTCCGGAATTCCAAGAAGAATCTTCTTATGCACTCCCAAAATTTGATCTTCTGTTGGCATTTTGGTAGCAGATGGTTTGGGGAGAACTCGTTTCATTTTGATAAAATTAAGGATTTCGAGTGTTGTGTTCAATTTGGGGCGCGATTACAGATTAATGAATGGGAGATGAATGGTTGAAATGCCACGTCAAAATAATTATATCTAATCAGGTTCGTATCCTTCCAGTTCACATTCCTATCCTCCCACGTCATTTAAATGGTTTCCATGTCATCGTTTGATCCGGGTCCGCGGATTAGTGGACTAAAATTGACGAAAATGGCAAGTAAACGTACTAATTTTGATGAGTGGAAACTTAATGTACCAAAATCGGACTTTGGGCAAGTTAACGTACCAAAAATGAAATTTTTCCCTAAGTTAAGTAGTGTTTTGACCAAACTTGTGTGACCTTTTTTTTTCCAAACGACAAATAACATAAAATAACTCAATAAGGCATCTTACAATACGAGGCCTAATTAGGCACTAAAGTTGCCGTAGCTAGCTCTCACACAAGCTCGGACAACAACATGATGATGTTTACAGATCTCCTTGAAGAGCCATCGTGGCTAAAGTACTGCATTCTTTACACACTGAAATATCAAAAACAAAGTTACAAGAATTAAAAGTAGAGCACAATTCCTTGAATTCCATAGCCACTCTGCCCAGTTGCTCCAGAGCTTCAGGTTGTCCATTGATCAATTCATCCACTTTGCAATCCACATGATAGGTAATGCTTTTCCAGTCTTTCTTCTTGGCACACTCCATCTCCCAACAAATTCCAGCAATGTAGGCCTCCACTGAACTTCCTCTGAAGTCCATAGATGTGTCCCACAATTGCAAATCCCTAGATGCTATGAAAGCTTTCCCTCCCAACAACTAACAGCTACATTGATCATATTCTCCCCCTCTCTCCCAACCCCCCTACTGGAGCCAATACCTTCTAGTCTACTCTTATCCCACTGATTGTCAGTTCTCCCTGCTAGCCTGCCCCCATCTACTGGACACTTTGGCTCCTCCTCTGTATAAAAAAGAAGCCAATCATCCAAAGCCCATTGCACTATCCTAGCCTCCCTTACCCATTTTTTTTCAAACACCCAATTATTCCTAGTTTTCTAAAGCCACCACAACAAAATAGGTAGAAAGGCTAATTCTATCTATCATGTTGTTGGTTTTTGGAGCATTACAGATCTCAGCAGTGCGTTTTGAAGTTTGAACATGGAAATGTTTGACACCACCTAGGGAAGTGCTGAATAGTAATCTATATCTACATTTATTTTTACACTAATACGATACTCATGTACTACACGGGTACTTAAATATATTAATATTTATACAATAAAAAATTAAAATTATTTATATTTTTATTGTGAATATTTTTTATTTTAAATAAAAAATTATTTATATGTTCTATTGTATAATGAATATACAACAATTTACAAAGTGATAATTAATTCAATACGGATCCCGCATTTTTTCACTAAATTTGTCAAAAATGATATTATTTAATTATATTTTTAAAATTATATATGTCTAAATCATATATTATTTACAACTCCATATATCCGATTCAAAATTTATTAAAACAAAACAAATTTTACTGTATTGTGATTATGTTTTATATTTATAGAGTCGGTGTCTCTAGTTTATTAATTTTTTATGTTTTTAAATTTTATATAATTTAATAATTTAAAATATTAATTTATGCAGAAATGTATTATTTTATAAATTTATGAAACGCAAAATTATTTTGTTATATTTAATTATGATATCCTTTTATATTTATTATCTTAAACAACATAATAACATTTAGTTCCTTATATAAAATATTTAAATTGAGAAATAACATTTTATAATAATTTTTATAATTTATTTTATGCAATACTCAGTTTTCATATTTTATCCAAAGTTTATGGAAAAGACACATTAAATTAATTATTTTATGTGTATTGATGAATTAGATTTTTATTATTTTTATAAAATAATTTATATTTTTAGTTGATATTTTATAAATTTATTTGATAATAAAATTATTTCTTTATAAAGTTTATATTTTATATATGCAATAGAGATGTCAAATCGGAGTCTGGTATCATATGATTATTTTTTAATATATCATAAATAAAAAATAAAATGCAAATAATAAAGTTTTAAAGTTTTATATATTAAAAAAAATACTGATTCATGATAATCAATATATGAGTTAAATAATAAAATGTAAGAATGGTATATGGTAATTTAAGAAAAAAAAAA